ACAAAGGACAGAGATAATGACAGATGGAGCGGTAACAACTGTGCTGTATCACGTACTGGCGCCTGGTGGTACAACTCGTGCACCTACTCCAATCTAAACGGAAAATACCTGGGAGACACAACTAGTTCCCAAGGTGTCAGTTGGTGGTACTGGAAGAACGCGCATGTCTCACTCAAATTTACTGAAATGAAACTGAGGCCGTCATCGTAAAAATAATACCAGTATATTACACCTGAGCTTTTACAATTAATTTTGTTATGTTATACAATTGTACTTTAGTCCAAAGTAAATTTTTTCTGCTGTTTTTCATCAGTGCTCGGTGTCTCCCCTTCCCCGTCACCTTCCTCCAACTTTACGCTTGCTTTAATTCTACATTTTTTGTGTCCGGTTACAAAGAAAATGAAAACAGTCCGCGTAGACAAGTAACCAGTGAGAATTTCTCGATTTCCTTTTGATGTTGGAAATTGTTGACAACTATACTCCGTTAAATATTAACATTAGTTTGGCTTCAAATGCATTGTAATTTCCCGCGAAAGTAGAATTGAAAACTTAATACTTTGTGAAATATGATTTTGTACTCTTTTATCATTTTCAAAGAGACCGACTCTGGGAGCCTTTTTCGTCCTCAAACCCCTGAATCCTTTGTTTTACAGTATTTCGTTGTCACGGCAGGACCCAGTGGTGCATGAAGCTGGGCTGTTGTGGCAAGGCACAGGTGACTTTTAGTAAGTTTAGTTCATGTTGTATGAAACATTTCAAAGTAAAAGGCTTCCAAAAGCGTGTAAGAAACTTGGAGAAGATCACGAAAATGGGCCAAAGACAGCAGTAAGCGCTTTTCTGTCCGGCAACTGAAAGGCAATAAAGGAAAGCCAGTAGAGATCATTAGTATCACCTTCAACGAACGGCAAATGGAACAACTGTAGAAGAAGAGCTAAAGAAGAACCAACCTTAATAGATTAATCGTTGCATTTTTCCTTCAGTACAAAAAAAAGCGAGAAGCGAGTACCAAGCTAATAGATTCGATATCGTCCACTGTACTAGACTCCTGACATGGCAATCAAATAGAAATTAATAAATTATCGAACAAGAAAGAGAAACGTTCCAGAAAGTTGTATCATATCAGTCTCTCTAACGCGTGCAGATAAGACAAGCAGGTAAAACTGTTTAGTAAGTAGTAGAATAGTAATAATAGTTTCTGTCAAAACAATTTCCCTTGGCTCTTTTTTTTTTTTCGTTAAACGTGAAATGGCCATCTCATTTTTGAGAAGTGTGAATTTTCCATTTTCTTCTTTGTGAAAGATGATATTGACTTCCCCTTCACCAACCTCTTTCTAAAAAAAATGATTTTTTTTATTTAAAAAAGGTGCTTANGTTGTCACGGCAGGACCCAGTGGTGCATGAAGCTGGGCTGTTGTGGCAAGGCACAGGTGACTTTTAGTAAGTTTAGTTCATGTTGTATGAAACATTTCAAAGTAAAAGGCTTCCAAAAGCCTGTAAGAAACTAGGAGAAGATCAAGAAAATGGGCCAAAGACAGCAATAAGTGCTTTTCTGTCCGACAACTGAAAGGCAATAAAGGAAAGCCAGTGGCGATCATTAGTATCACCTTCAACGAACGGCAAATGGAACAACTGTAGAAGAAGAGCTAAAGAAGAATCAACCTTGATAGATTAATCGTTGCATTTTTCCTTCAGTGCAAAAAAATAAATTATCGAACAAGAAAGAGAAATGTTCCAGAAAGTTGTATCATATCAGTCTTATTCGATATCTTTGTGCTCGCGTGCAGATAGGACAATGCAGGTAAAACTGTTTAGTAAGTAGTAGAATAGTAATAATAGTTTCTGTCAAAACAATTTCCCTTGGCTCTTTTTTTTTTTCGTTAAACGTGAAATGGCCATCTTATTTTTGAGAAGTGTGAATTTTCCATTTTCTTCTTTGTGAAAGGTGATATTGACTTCCCCTTCACCAACCTCTTTCTAAAAAAATGATCTTTTTTAAAAATAATTTTTTTTATTTAAAAAAGGTGCTTACGTCATTTCAAAACTACAATTCAAATTTCGCACCACTAAAGTAAGAAGCAATTTACTTTTAAGTGAATGTAAGATTTGGCTTTACCCCTGATTGAATATCTACCTATTACCTACCTTTGGTTGTTTATAAGAAACCTGCAACAAAGGATTGTACACTGTATAACGTACAATTTTCTTTTAGTTTTTGTAACTTCTTTTTATCCTATGTATTAGTTCAGTGTAAATTATATTTACCTTTTCTTTGCCTTTCCTTTATCTGTGAGTAAGAGGCAGCCAACTTGAAAGCTCTGCCGCTTTGGCTGCTGCACACGTATTTAAAACTCATATATCTCTTTGTGTTATAACGTAGATTTGTTTTCTACTGCTTTCTGTATCTTATTTTTTTATGTAATCAAAAGAGTGTGAATAAAGATTTGACTTGATTTGATTTGATTTGATTTGATTTGATTTGGTGATGGGATGTTCTAATTGCAGGCGTGTTGGACTGCGGATCGAGCTGGGGAGGTGGTGTGTTCTTGGGCAGGACACTTTCCTCTTACAGAACCTTCAAATGGCACATGTTGAGTTGCCTGACAAAAAATTGGAAGCAAACCACAATGTACTGAGCGTCCCTGCCAGGGAGGAGTAGCAATACGCCTCTCACTTCATAATTCAAATATTTCAGTTGAGCGGATGGATGGATGAGTTATGTCGTAGCTTTATTAGAACCCTCTTGATCTTTATT